CCCGTTAAACCTGTCGTATACCGATCGCACACTGACGCAACGTAATGCGTTTCAGCTACGTGCCGTTCAATACGTCATTTTTCGTGGCGATCGACTGCAACGGTCACGCGAATCGCGCGCGGATCAACGTCATCATCCTCTCCCTTTCGCCATTACCCCGTTTCGTTTTCGTCCTCACCTCGCCCAATGCCTCGTAACGTCGCCACGTAATATCGCGGCATGCATAAACACATACAGAGACGGCGTTGAGGTACTTTGCTAGAATTTATCTCCCACTGATCTCGTGGGTGTACCCATTGTTCTCTTTCATGGGACACGTTGTCCCACGTCACGATCCCGTTTCAGCGACCGGTCGGTCGGTCGATCGGTCGGTCGGCCGGTCGGTCGGTCGGTCGGTCGGCCGATCGGTCGGTCGGTCGGTCGGTCGGTCGGTCGATCGGCGAAGGTTTCCGTTTTCCTCCTCCTCTTCCTCCTCCGACTTACACGCGGCCAAGTATGTCAACGTTTACCGGCGCATTATCCGTAAGACATGATCACCTTACGCGACGAGGCCGCGTAATATTATAGCAACTCCACCTAACAAATGATACTGTGCAAAGTTACAAGTTACAAGGAAATTCACGGTACGGGGGGGTTACAAGCCGCTTTTTTTTCATGGGCGAAAGCGACGTATTCCGCAATGCGGAATGAAGGAAGTGAAAAAGAGATTCCTTCTTCATCGAGAGATACAATTTCGCGCGCCTCAATTTGTCATATAACAATGATGGATCGGACCGGAAAGTGCTTCGAAAGTGATTTCGTAATCTGACACTGAAACGACTGATTTTCTGTAAATTAGAAAAGATAATAGAATTGAAATGAGAGAAAGTGAATCAACGTTTAGTCGAATAAGTTTTGGATTTGAAGTGCAATTATTCCGCAAAAGATCAATTAAATATCTGCGCGTGTTGATTATAGAATTAATACAAAATTAAGAAAGTTTATATGAAAATGTTCTTATTGCATATCTTTTGCCTCTGTCCTAATTTCTCGTCTCGTATGTTCTGTTAAATTTTGTTACGTCATGCTCACTCTCGTTTTTTTTTCGCTATTAATTATATTAATGAGAAACACTCGGTATCTCTAATTTTAATGAAGTTTATTTTCATAAAAATGTAATTTTCTGATTAAAAAGCTGCATCAAAATCGAGGTTGAGTCTGACGATGGCTATCATTCAGGGCGAAGATCTCACCTCGGACTCCATTCAACCGTGTAACCTGATTTAATCATCATTCCCTCGCGGAGAGATTCTTTTCTCTCGAATACCGACACGATACCTAGCTTTGACACTCCCGCGATGCCATTTGGATGCGCTCGCCCATCCATGAAGTGTAGGCAGACAAGAAAGGTTAATCGATAAAATTTGCCAGTAAAAACAGCTACGAAATCAGGCAACCTTCCCGCGATGAATTTCGCAACGACCGCAGAATTTATGCCGAATTTTATATTCCAACGTCCGAGCGGATTATCCGCCTGCATCTGAATTTGACTTACGGTAATCATCTCGCACGTCCACTTTACGTCTGCACCAAAGTCTGCAAATTAATGCGCAATAATAATTGCCATAATCAGCAGCATCATAATTAATTAAGCGCGCAGCTATTTATGCGCCGGTTGTAAAATTGATTATAAAACTGATGTCGCGCGAAGTTATGTATTTCGACATATAGTAATGAATCCGGGACGGCAAGCCTGAGCCTATTTATAAGCTGCATGTTCCTTCCTGAAACGTGTTTAGGCTGGGAAATTGTGGATTCCATTAATTTCGTCGATGACCTCACGCACGTATACGCGATATATACATAATCGGGCGTCACGCTTGTTACGACACATTTCGTACGTTTTTTTTCAAATGACTCGATTCGTAAGCGAGAGAACCGTCACAGTCGTGGAAAGTGGAGGTGTCGGAATAACGACCAGTAATTCCAAGTCCTCCGGGTGGATCGCCTGGATAGCAGGTATTACGTAAAGGTCGTTGCCGATGAAGAGTCTCTCGGTGAAACGGCAGCACACCTTGCCGGTTTATTGCCGAGCGTCCTCTCTCACTCTCTTCTTCAGAGGCACCTGGCGGCAATGCCGCTCTATGCGCGTGATGAAGGCGAGAGTACTATCTCCCGTTATATTACTAGGTCTATAGAATACCCGAGATTCTCCATAACCCCGCCGACCTCATTGACACTGGCCTTGGAGGCGTCTCTCTTCAAGGTTCACGAAAATTGACAACTCGATCGTGGCCACCGCATCGTCGTCTATCTTTAGACTCGTTTCTTTGAAATTTAGATCAGTTGTGAATAAGTAATAATCGATTCGCTCGATACAATTCTTCCCTGCGATGCTTTACAGAGGACGTGAGAAATTAATTAAAATAAAATACTTCATTTATATATACACAATTATTTATTTATTGGATATATACAATTTGATGTTATATATTTAATTGTTATCAAATTTGTGCAATTTTGATGGAATATCTTATTATGCGAGTTTGTTTCATATCATTTCTCGTTCTGTTAACGTATTCTTCAAACCCCGATAATACTTTTCAGTATTGTGCATTATAAAATCAGTTAATTGAATAACCATGAAGAAGGCTCGTTGATGTAACAAATAGCTGTCAACTTTTCGCATTACCGGGATATTTTATGCTCTTCGAAATTGTCCCTACGCTGCAATATTTCTTTCCGCGCGAGTGTATACAAAGTTGATTCAACGTTTCATTAAGTGTGTCGAGGCATATGCGTAAGAGGCATGATATAAGCTAATTAGCTTTCTCTCATATTTTACAGGAATTTCGTGGCTGGGATCCTCCAATTTCAGCTGTATCGCGCGCTGTGCCAGGCTGCAGGACAGAGGTACGGAATCGACAATCCGAGGAGGCCGTTGCACAGATGCGACTTTTACAGAAGACCCGAGGCCGGCAGAATCTTAGGGTAAGATTCGAAAAATTCAATAAATTATCGTGCACTTAAACCGGTTAAAGCCTTACATAAATCCGCCGCGTACGAAAAGTGGACATACGGGCGTAAAGGCCTGCGTCTTTTAATAATCGGCTTTTAATCGAGGTGTATCAACCGCGTACTTTCGCAACGGCGCGATTCTTTACGGCACGAAAGCAAACGCGCGATGAAATTGATTGTAGGATTCACTCGCGAATAACGCAAAACGAAAACGGTCGAGACGTCGGCAAAAAAAAAAAAACAGGCGTTTCTCACATCGTGCTTGCAGATCGAGGCATATTTTTTATTGTTAAAAAAGCTGTATTGCTCACTCACGCTCATTATTTCAACGTCTGGCGCAAAGCAAGCAGAAAGACGCAAATACCGTTTTACCGGTTAAGTGGTGTATTAAAGCCTCGTAAAATGCAAAGGTGAATACGTAACTCGGCAACTCGATTGAGTACCGGATGACGGATGCTTATTATATATAATGAAGAAAAGAACATCGACACAGAATTTTATAATTTACCTGACGCATATTTAGGGTAATGACTCACTTGAGGAATATCAGGCATTTTCGTTAAGAAGGTTTGCAATGTTGACAAAATTAAAGATTTGACATATCTAAGTTGAAAAACTGCTGTGTAATCTAGGTCGAATAAAAAAATGTAGATCATGGAGAATGACACAACATCGAGAGAAAGGAGGCAGGATGAAGGAAACTGCTCAATAATAATGCACCTTCAGCATTATCTTCAATTTATTGCTTCAATTACACAGCATTTTTTTCTTAAACACTTCTTAAAAAGTTTGATTTACGATATTTTTTTACAACAATTGTAGCATGTTAAGAAGAATATATTTAAATAGATTCTGCATTGTATAAATATCTAAATTTTATTTAATTAATTTTGCAAACTTTAATATTAAATACGCTTGTTTAATTTTAATTCTCAGATTCTTAATTGTGAGACTACATAATTGCGACATAAAAACAAAAATATCTTCATAAACATAAAAGATGGTACCTCCAGAGGTAGCTACATTTATTGTCCACTTCACTTTCAAAACTTGCTAATTATGCCTAATTATGCCTCTACGAACGAGATGTTCTTGACTTGACCTGGTGACCATATAATCAGAGCCGGCCATTTCGAAATGTCAGGAATTTGTAAAATTCCACAGCAAGGCGGGACTGCGAACTTAATCGATGCCTCATTCCGGATCTTGACATTTTGGCCCCGAATCTTTTTAAGATTCAAGGTTAGAATCTTTTTTAATATCGAGTTAATGTACGCATGATGGATATAGAAACTGGGATTTCCTGAAAAGAAGACGAAGAAAGATTGTCGTCTCGTCTTGTCCAGTGATATTTTGCCGATTATTACGCCGCGATTAATTTAGCAAGGAATGTTGATTTTCTATATAAAAAAAATTCTATACAACGTGCTCGTGTTAAGCAACGTGACATCGTAATTTTTATTTGTCATTTATTCGCTAATAAATATAAATTCACGAATTGACAGTAGATATTTGTATCGTCCGCATTAATTATTTCAAAAAATCACAAATCATGTAATACAAAATATTTTGCTTAAATTTTTAACTTAAAAGCGAATTGTAGACTTTATGTAGTCTAACAATTTAATTTTCATCACTAGAATATTCAGTTGAATTTCACATTTATTCGCTTGTACCCTTCGTTACGATGTTTCACTTGTAACTATATTTAGAATATGGAGCACGAAATCTCTAGGACGATTTCGACATTTATAATTGCATGTCTTTACAACACGTTTGTTTTCGCGTATATCTTCCAAATAATCGCCCATCGATGTAGACACTAATTGCAGCTTGAAATTAAAGAATATAGCACATAGATAATTGATTCTGAAAGAAAGGAGCTAATATGTAAGAAGCCTAAATTGATAGAAATCTATTTTATCTATTTTTATAAAAAGTGAAACGATGATTTATGACGATCTTAATATTTTTGTACATATTAATTTTTATAATAAATCTTTTTTAATAAAAAAATCTTTTTCTCTAAATATTAATATAGGCAATTTAATACATCAGTATTTGAATATAAAAAAATAATTGTTTATTATTTTTGATCATATAATTATTTAAAATTTTTAAATTTTTACAATGGCCTTCTAAAAAAATTTCACTCCCTCAAGCAGCTCTTTATTGGAAATAATAAAAAAAATTTATTGAATCGCTTGCGAGTAATTAAATAAATCGCTAATTACTGATTTTAAATTTATATTTATATTACAAATATAAAAAAAAATTTTTTGATTGTACAATTATTTTTAATTTCTAAGTTTTACAATAGCCTTCTAAAAAATTTCACATCTCAAGTAGCTCCTTGTTGAGAACAATAAAAAGATTTGCTTGATGACACCGCTTACGTGTGTTTAAACAAATAGCTAAATTAAATGCTGACAATGTGATACATGACATAGTGATATAACATAGTTATACAGCTAACTGACTTGAAAGAGGTAGGGCTAAACGGGCGCCTACAATGCCGAAGTGGCATCGCTACGTTTATGTAGATTTCCGCGGTACGAAAAAACGTTCGGCGCCGCTGGGATTGCGGTTTTGCGTCGCTGATTACAGGGCGCATTATACACGCGAGCGTGATCATGATCCCCGGAGAGTGTTGCAAGATGCGTGCGCCACGGTAATGACGCTTATTGTTAAGATCGTATCGGCTTACGATGCAAGAAACGTAGATTTTGACATGGCGCTTTTATTTATGGAGAGACTTCGCTTGCACTTGCTCGTACGCCAAATCCGAACAGTCCTCGTCGTTATCCACGTGACTGGTCCACGTCAAATTCCATTAAGCGTGCCGACTCGCACGTGGCCGAGCATTATATCATCGACCGCTTCGCGATCGAATCTCGATTGCCTTCTCGACGAATTCTGGCGAACGCTATTTGGGTCAACGAGAGGGAATTTTTCGGCTCCACGATTCGGTTCTACCGATGTGCCGGCCCGGCATTCGTTCTCTCGGCATTATTTTGCAACGCGTCGCGTTGTTCCTGCAATTTAATTTAATTAGGACGGGAATATTCCGATGATGACAATAATATCGTTGGTAACCGCCTACGGAAAACGAGGCGTGGATCTTAGTTCGCGGAACGGGGGACACACGTAATCGAAACTGGTATAAAGCTGGCGAAATTGCAAAAACATGAGTGTTTATAATCAGTAAATACTATATATTGATATTACACACCGATATTTATATAATCTCGGTGGGTTACGTGGGTAAAAGTTCTTACAGTAATACATGCGCTGTATGAAATGTGTGGTAATACGATTTCCATATTCCTTAAAAGTGCGAGTGTAGTAGTAACAAATATATGAAAACACAATTTTTATTTTACATTGCGAAACGTCAAGACGATTGACAAATGAGTTGTTGTAACGAATGTCCGTTTCATTAGAATTGATAATCATTCGAAAAATTTGATTGACCTTCGTAAAAAATCTCGAGTGATTAAAATTCCGAAACACGTTAAAAGTTGGTATAATAAAAGACTAGTAGTCAGACGCGATATAAAAATCGCGAGAGACGCGCGAGAAGGTAAAGTCCCGAGAAAGAAACGAGATAACGTACGCACTTAACTGAAACGCCCGTATTTCCTTTACAGTTACGAAATCGTACTCGCGTTAAAGAGTTACATAAAATGACAAAAAGCATCGGGTAGTAACAGTTTTATTCTAACGTGATAATTTATGTTAGAAACGTTCCCGTCTCTTTCACGATGTACTCGCGAGCTGAGACCGCGGACTCGTTCGTGCACATTTGCAGGCGTAACGCGGGCAAAGTTTTATAGATGTGGAAAGTTGCATGATCCTCTTGGCAAGCGGAAGCTCGATAAGGATTGTTCCGCATTTTGAAGGTGGTCGAGTTCGCAGATCGAAATCTCTTGGCGGACGGCCAAGTTGCCGAGGCATCCTGCAATAAAGCAGTTTTCGTAGAAGCCAAACTAATCTCGATGGAATATAAAATTTATCTTTAATATATACGAACATTATAGTGTAGTATTAAATTATATTGTATGTTATAAACTTTTATATATATATATATAAGTTTATAACTGCTTTATTTGTTCAATGTGCGATTAATCTATGAAAATTAATTGTCATCTTAGAATAAAATAATAATTATTAATAATAATAAAATTAATAATAATAATAATTTGATATATCAATTTATCATTTTATCATATATATATATATGATAAAATATTGATATATCAAAATTATATTTTATTCTAAGATTACAATTGGTTCAATCGCATATTCAATAAATACGTGGAGAACCTGGGATTTGCAACGATCGTCTATGCAAAATGATAAGTGTATTGCAATAAAACAAAATTAAATCGCATTCGTATTAAGACAAATAAAATAACGGTTCGTATTTGCAAAGCAATAAGAAAAGCAAAATCAAGTCAAAAACGGATCAGATGAGATAATAGTTTATTAAAATTAAATTTTGACTTTTTTTACCGTTGGAATACCTATTCAAAGTCAACTTATGAATGACATGCGAATCTATCGCGCAGTGCATTATCGAATTGTCGGCGTCTAAAGGGAAATTCAGTCAGAGATCGTTCGCTATATAAGAAGATCAAGATTCCGTCGATTGAGATCTGCTGACTTCCTGCAATCGAAGGACGATCTCGGGCTCTCGCTTTACGGCGCGTATCGACGATGTCGTGCCGATTACGAAAGCGGGGTACACATGGTAAATGGAAAAAAGAGAAGAAAGAAAAAAATTACGTGCACGTAAAAGAACGCGAGAGAGTCCCATGCATGGCGCAGTTACACGGCAAAAGAAACTCGACGACTCGACGAGAGCGCGGTGCGTTGTTACGCGTTACACTTCCGTTTTCACTACGCAAGATTTGAGGGCGTCACACGTGGATAGAAAACTCGTCTGAATTGCCATCCGCAAGAATAAAAAA